GCACGCCCAAGACGGCTGCTTTTGTCTCCTTGCTGTCGGCGAAGTTGCCACTGCTAAGCAATTTCCTTATGTTGGGGAAGAGGTGGCAACCTGAGGGTGCAAGGTACGGAGAAAAAAGTGGCTGTGACAACAACTCGAAGCCACAGCTCACTGCTTCGCTGATCGTCACGCTGCCCATGTGTGCTGGTGAGTGGTCCTGGATCAGGCGCACACTTTTAGTCAACTTCCCTAGTCTCTCCTTGATACCTGCTGCTCGCTACTATTATCGAAGGGAGGTGTAGTATTCATCATTAATTGTGCGCCCCTGTTTTAGAAAGTTGACGAGCAGGGCCCCGTCAGCATCCCAAAATGCAACCACTGTCATATTGCCGTCTGACTTAAACACGTCGCACACATTTGGTGGCCTTTACTCAATGTGCTTCTACTTGTGCAAATCGGTCACGCCCTTAGGGTCAACGTGTGACACCCACAATCCCTCCATGGTAACAAGTAGTTCAATGAACTCTTTTGGATCTTCGATATAGGGGCCAAAATTTTCGCGTTACGCCTCCTTTCGAGTTTGCCTTTCCTCTGGAGTCAGCAAACGGGGGATACATCTTGCAGAGATCCTAAACATATCAATACGCTGTTGAAGAATGGCTTTGAGGAACCTGATAGACACCTCCGCTTCTGCTGCGTTGTGCCAGACCAGAACATTTGCCATTTTTCACAAAGAAGTGCTTATTTTTCACATTTTCTTGAGTCAATGCTGTTGATGGCTGGCCACTGCGGGGGTGACCATTGATGATCTGTTGACCAAACTCGAACAGAGATGTCCGCTTTTTGACGCTACTGTAAGAAAGACAAACCTCAACATGTGTTGACACTAGCTTTTCCTGAATAACGTTTGGTGCATTTGTCTACAATAAATGAACCAAATCACTGTTCTCTTCTGGGCGTCGCCCATTCTGGCCGGGAATGGCAAACTATGTTACGATTAATTAGCAGCCTGAACCAATCACAGGGCAGATTGGTTAATGGCTACGTAAGAGGACATCCCAATAACACATCACTGAACACACCGCGTTGCAGGCCGAAATTCCAACTCCTTCATGGTTGGGCCGGGAACTTTTTGAACGCCCCTCGTATATACAAGGCAATAACAATGCGTCTGTATGAACCCAACACAAATAGGCAAAGCAGCTCCTCGCCGGTATAAAGAAAAAAAAAATCCTACCGAACCAAGAACAACACCCTACCAAACCAACAACCTACCCATCACAGACAATCACCTCACACGTCTTGACAGTTCGGCTATTTCCGCACCTGTTTTTTGGCCGAGTTTTTCCACTCCTTCTCCTTCTGTTCGTTCCAGAGCCCCTTGTGTGAGAGGTAGAGCCTCATCCTGGCGATGGGATGGTCCGTGGAGTCCCAGTAGCGGACCTCATCCACAGAGCGGTACGCCGAGCTGTCGTCCGACGTACTGTGGTGGCCAATACTGGGGAAATAGAGACGTTACTGGTTAGAAGGTACGCCGAACTGTTGTCTGACGTACTGTGGTGGCCGATACTGCGGGGACAGAGAAGGGGGAGGGTTAGACGGTACAGTCGAGGGTATAGAAGCAGCCATTTACATAGCTTTGTCATGATGTAATCTGATAACTCTGATCATGATTTGCGGTCTTAGGGCGCCGGGACTGCGAAAGTTCGATACCTAAGCATCTTCTGGAGAGGTAGAGTCTATGGATATAAAAGTAGTTAATTCGGTGAGAAGTTCTCTCTCAAGAGGCAACAGCAAGGCTACAATGGCTACAGAAGAAAAAAAAAAACGATCTTTACGACGCGCACTAAATTCGCATTGGCATAATTTCCGTGATAGTTCAGCAGTTCACTCAGGGGGCAGAAGACAGCTGAGGCCGACTTGTAAGCTTTCAACACGTCTACTGTCATAGATTTGTGCCTCAGGAGTCAGTAACATCCATTCCCCCTCCCCCCCTGACCCACCGGTAGGTCATGGCCTCGATGACGACGGGCTTGTTTTGTCAGCCCTCCCCTCCCCCCTCCCCCAAGTCCCAACCCACCGGTATGTCATGGCCTCGATGAGGACGGGCTTGTTCTCGTTGATGGCCATGTTCCGCGCCGCCACGGTGGCGTTGTACACGGCCAGGGTGTCGTTGCCGTCCACGCGGATGGAGGCGATGCCGTAGGCCGGTCCTCGGCCGGCGATACCGTCCCCGCGGTACTGCTCCCGGGTCGGCGTCGAGATGGCGTAACCGTTGTTACGGCTGGCGGGGAGGGAGGGAGGGGTGAAATGAGAAGAGAAGAGAAGAGGACGAAAATAAACGTTTCATTGCCTTGTTTTATCAAAGAGAGCACAAAGGTGAATAGAGAGCGTCCGCACGAGTTAAGTGCAAGAGGTATCCTAATTCGTCTGGCAGTATATAAAATACACCTATTTGAGAACTGACGAGCAGCTTTTGAAAAAGAAAACGCATGCCAAAATAATGCACTTATATATCAGTTTCCGATCTATACAATATTCTCTCGCTCTCGATTTCGAGAAACCCCCCGGCCGCTGCGGCGCGTCTCACCAGAAGAATATGATGGGAGCGTCGAGCACGGCGGCGAAGTTGAAGGCGGCGTGGGCGTCTCCCTCGCTGGAGCTGCCCTCGCCAAAGTAGCAGATGACGCAGCGCTTTTCCGGGCTCCGCTTGAAGGCGTACGCCGTGCCCACCGCTGGAGAGGGTGAGGAGGGGGTCAGGGGGGTCAGGGGCCATGAGTAAACTGGGAATGAAAACTAGAAAGTGTCCCAATCACGCCTCAACAAAATCATAGGTTTGCAAAAAAGTGAATCCCCCCCAAAAAGACCGTTGCAAACCTATCTAGCAACACGTCCCCCCCCCCCCCCCCACAACGGACGCTTGAGCCCGACAGGCTATGCGCCCTACTCCAAGACAAGACATGTCCCCCGACGCACAGTGGGGCCGTTGACCAGTTTAGGGCGAATTTATTCGTAGCGTTGTTAATATTTCTCAATATGTTTTTCAAATGGTTTAAATGGGTATATTTAGGCATTTTGGGTCATCCCTGATGCTTTCGATATATTCGATAATCGAAAAAGCATAAACACACGATGCATATGTATTGCATCACATGTTTACATACATACACTTTGAACACTCTCACGACACGCCGCGCTGGTTCGACTCTGCCAGTCACTGCTGTCACTGCTGAACAGTCACTGCTGCTGTGGCAGTCGTCGCTGTCGACATCACTGCTGTCGGTGCCGTCGTCACGACGTAGCTGACTCTCTCTCTCTCTCTCTCTCTCTCTCTCTCTCTCTCTCTCTCTCTCTCTCTCTCTCTCTCTCTCTCTCTCTCTCTCTCTCTCTCCCCCTCCCCTCCCCTCCCCCTCTCCCTCCCCCTCCCCCTCCCCCGGCGCTGCAGACCCAGGCTGCTGAGCAGCGGGTCGCTCGCCACGAGCAGGTAGCCCAGGAGGTCCGACATCGTGTGGATCCTCGAATCCTTGCGGGTGTGTCGAAGGCGGTACTGGCGGACCCGCTTGTAGGTAGCCTCTGCTGCTTCCTCAGAGATCATACCGATCGGGAGGTGGCAAGACTCCACCACGGCCGCGGAGTGGCTCAGCAGCTTGTGCAGCGTGGTGGACATGTACCTCTCCACGTACAGCTCAGCCGTGCGGCGGCAGTACGCGGAGAGAGCGTCGATGTCCAGTCGGTGCAGACAGCTGACAGCCTGCAGCACCGTGCCGACCCGGTCGATCAGCTCCTGGTCGACGCCGGTGCAGGCCGCGAACTCGGCCGGCGAGCGGAAGGCGCGGCGGGCGGTGTTGCCGTCGTTGGAGTTGCCGCTGCCTCCTGCCCGCGGCTCGTCCACGCGCAGCCCCATCCTGGTCCTGAAGGCCTCCTGCACCTCAGCCGGGTGTACGGAAAGCAGCAGTACGGGGCAGGAATGATCAGGTACCAATAATCGAAATCATCGTGGCCAAAGAGGACTTATTTCATACTCTCGAAATAGGTTGCGATACATTTGCCACCCAATGACTAGCTGACACACATCCTGACCCATAATAACAGGCTCGATGGTTGGCTGCTGTAGACAGTGACATCACTCAATGGGCGGGACTAAAAACACACGTCATTCCGGATCCTGTCGGGTCACGCACCGTCCGCCCCCAGGTCAGGTCACGGCCCGCGGCTGGGTCATGACCGAGCGGCGTGCCGTCGGTCATGTTTAAACTCGAGCTACCGGTGAGGCGAGCAAGTTCGAGCAGGAAAAAAAGGTCGGGCCAAGTCAAAAAATGCTGGCAAATTGCAATCATGCTAGATCTGACGTGGCGGCAAACGGCGGTAGTTGTTGAAATCTTGGGTTTTCATGAAACATCGTTATGAAAACGCTATGCATGTATTGGTTTGATTCTATCAGTCGTAACGTGCAGACGATAGGTCAGCCAGTATTGCAAGTTATCCTATCGTTTTTTAGAGACATTGGGAAGAACAATGGTGTATGATTTATATCAATTCAATATGTATTACACTATGTAAACTTGCGTTACAAAAGTCGCGTTCTCGCCCGCAAATCGGCAGGATATGAGAAAGCCAACAATTTGTCCACTTTGAGTAGTCAAATCACCCCCTAAAAGTTGCCATATGTGCAAAATTCAGGTGGTTTCATAAAATTCAGGTAATTTCCTATACATTCAGCCATATTTCAAGCAGATTTTCGAAAGTCACTTTCTTGATTAAATTCGCCCTAAACTGGCCCGCGGCCCGTCCGTGCGACGGTCCGCTCCCCGCGGTCCGCGTTGCCCCTACCTTGCGGCATCTGGGTGGCCAGCGGTGACGAGATGGTACAAAAGTTGTGCGCCGGCGAGCCGTAGTGGATGGGCATCTGGCGGCCCTTCCCGGCGTCCATCTCATTGCCGTAGCACTGGTTCATGAACTGGTCCAGCGTGTAACCGCGGTACATCAGCACTCCTGAGGGAGGAGGGACATTAACACTGGTTCATGATCTGGTCTAGCGTGTAACCGCGGTACATCAGCACTCCTGAGGGGGGAGGGACATTAACACTGGTTCATGATCTGGTCTAGCGTGTAACCGCGGTACATCAGCACTCCTGAAGACAGCGAAGATTACGAGTCAAGAGGACAGCCGAGATCCAACACAGGACCGATGGTGACGGTGACGTTAGCGTACAAAACAGCTGGAGGTGCCACCGGCGAGGACATTAACTGCTATGTAGGTATCGACTAGCTCACGATATAATAATCCATTACTCCAAATATTAACCTTGTCGCGCTTGTATCGGTCTGAATGTTATCTGACTCGTGATATTATGAGTCTAAGCAACACCTAACCCGGGATAGTTAAGTCGAAACGTTACCTGACTCTCGGTACTGGCCGTAGATGAAGTCCTTGGGGTCCAGCGCCGCCGCCGAGCCCATATGGGTTCCCTCCTCGCCGTAGTTGGTCATGTAGAACGATATCCTGTCGACGAAGAACAACACCACGGTAAACGAGACTCACGGCAACAAAATAAAAGTATTTTGTCGAATAAGCTAATTCACTGCATGCATAGTCAAAATATTTAAATGACAAAACTTCCCAACGCATTTTTTTATTCTTAGCTCATCGGCCATCAGTTTCTTGGTAACCGATGGTTGAAAATGGGACAGGTTTTACGCAGACGTTGTCCTTAAACGCACCCAAATATCAGTCATCCCCAATCCACATACTGATCGAGTCGCATTACGGCGTCCCTCCATTAGTCGGTCGGAAGATTCACCCACCTGCCCTGTCGCTGCGACTCGTACAGGATCTTGTCCATGGTGTTGAGCAGCGTCATCTTCTGGTACATGTCGATCAGCGTGTCGTCAGGAATCTGTGGAACAGAGAGCGGCGGGGAGGATAAAAAGACGGCATGGTTCCGTCGAGGCACCGCGTTATTGCACATTAGGTCAGATTTTTGTCGAAGTACTCGTATTTTCGTGATGTGCAAGAAAAAAATCCAGACTCTCATGCTATGATCAAAAATTTCGACGAACACTCATCCATCAATAAAATTTTCATCGATACTTTTACCGATAACGATATATCGACAAACATTAATTTTTATCAATCAATAAGTATCCTCGATAAAAACGTATCCATATTCCCACCGGATTACCTGTCAAAATTGGGTATCCAGAACAGACCAATGTCAAGCAGAGCGGAGCACACCAAACTGTCTCATCACCCGTCAACAGCCGTGGTACCGGTAACCGGTGTCGTACCGCTAACTTCCCCACCTCTCCCCTCCAACTTCCCACCTACTGGCCCCACCTTGGGCTCGTCCTTGGCCTGGATGACGCGGCCGCTGCGGTCCATCACCCGGTACACGGGGATGCCGTTGTAGCGGTCCGCGTTGACGAACTCCAGGTCGTGCGTCCAGCTGGCCGTGGCGCCCGGGAACTGCGGGCGCACCTCCGAGCCATCACTGCCGACGGCCTCTGTCGGGGTGTAGCCGCCGACACCCTCACCGTACCACCGCCGCTGTGGAGGGGAGGGGGAGGTCAGGGGGTGTAGCTGCAGACACCCTCACCGTACCACCGCCGCTGCGGGAGCGGAGGGGCGAGGTCAGGGGCTGCTGAGATCCTCACTATACCACTGTCACTGAAAGGAGGGGAGGGATGGGGTCAAAGGGTGTACTCGTCAACACCCTCACCATACCATCCTCCCTGTTAGAGATGGGGGAGGGTGAATAGGGGGCATAGCTGACAATGACCTCACCACAAACACTACAAGGAGGGGGAGGAGGGCAGAAAGGGGTCAGGTAAGGGTAGTGGTATTGTAGTGACATGCTGAACTATAGTGCTAGCACTTCTAGCATGACAATGCCCAAAGTAAATGTGTCTGAACCCTGAGTCAAAAACTCAGCTGGGACACCAATGGGCACTGTGCAGTTGACCATTTCCATCTTTTGAAGCATGGGATCATGTGGTTACCTACAACTTTCAATCTTGTTCAGTGGGTGTTGTAAAAAAGCACCTGACCTTCTGCAACTAAACACTGATTTTATTATTATTTAATATTTTCATGAAGCATCTGAATCTGTAGAAAATGGATACCATTAAGATCAGACATTTAGGCTCGGATCATACTAAAATTGAAATTGCAGCAGGGTCAAATTTCTAAGGCTTTCTGAGTTCCGCGAATTGCGGTAAGTAGCTATCTCAAACTCAAAAGGTCAGGATGCCGCACCCACTAAAATAAAAAAAAATCTATGAACTTCCCCAAGTTTGCCCTCAACTCACATTTGAGCTGGCAAGACCATAAATACATTTTGGAGCAAATGAAGCACGAGCCAAGGGACACAGTTTGCTGAAGCCAGTCTTCAACATCTTAATCAAGCGTCTGACAAAATTTATGTGAAACAAATCAGGGAAAATAGCAATAAGAACAGCTTAGTTGAAAAATTTGTAGCGGATCGCGTAAAGGGCAGATTTGAAGTAATGTGCAAAGCTACCAAATGCTGAGCTTTACAAGCGATGGCTTGGCTTGTCCTTGGTGGTTCACGTTTAAAAACGCCTAAAACTTGGCTGATTTATTTTCTTATTTTCAATTTCAAAATTAAGTTGGTAGCTTATTTGCTACAAAATTTAAAAATTTTGTCTAACTGACTTTTTATTTGCTTATTCTTCCAATGGATAAATGCAATTTGAAAATTTGGGCTATGAAACTCATCCAAATTCGGAGATCAAAAGAAGGGCCAATGTCAATGTGCTTTGTTATTTTAACATACAAAAAGTTTAGTGTGAACAAGTCTTTAAATCTATTTGTCGCATCTGCGCAGAAAATGTCAAAAGTTCACATAGTTCACATTGAAAGGAAGAGGTTGAGGTTGGAACGGTTGGAATATTGGAAGTAAAATTAATTAGGTCAAAATTAGGTAAGTAAAATATTTATCAAGTGTCTGACCATGCCTCATGCTTCCTTACTCTTTTCTGTTTTGCATAGAATGGTCGTTGACCATGTTTGTAAAATACCTTATACGTAAAATACTGAGTTAGATAGGTATAGGTATCAATGTTGCAATTTGATCCAGCCGGTTTTTCATCCTGTTCTTGCTGCAATTTTTATATGGTAGTAAAAAAACAAATGAAATATATTGTGGAGTACTAATATTTAACATATTAATGATTAAACTTAAGAACCAGTGTTAACCATTTTGATTGTTAAAGGGACCCTCCCACCTTCAAAAAAGTTAATGAATTGGCACGAAAGTGATGTCGCTCGGTTCAGAAAGAGCGAAAACGAATATCTACCAAATTTCATCGAAAAATATTCACCGGTTTTCAAGATATTAGACTTTTACTTTTGTTTACTTTTTGGGATCTCCGCTGTTCCTAGCGACTTTATTTGAAAGTGCGGCATTTGTTGCGCGCAAAGCAGCATATACCACCGCGTGCTACCAAACGTTTTAGTAAAAGATTTAAAAATTGTTAGATCTCCGCTGACGTCACAAATTCTAAGGGGGCATACCAATGCACTAGCCCCTTAGAATCTGAAAACTGCAAGTTTGAAATTCCATATCTCCGAATTAAAGCATTTGTCGATGTTGTGAGTGCCCAAACCGGTATTTGCAGGCCATGGCCACCAATTTGGCTATCTCAACTCAAAACTAATGTTAAGGTGGGAGTGTCCCTTTAAGTCATTCTACCATTGCATTTTGACTCACCCATGCCGAGTACAGAACGGCACAAGACTGAGCTGCCCATCTGAGTCAAGTTGTTAGCTAACCTTCTGCCCCCACCCCTTTCCACCCTCTTGTACTCTGTTAGGTACCTACGTAATCTGACCTTGTGTCAACTGGTCTGAGAGGTCTAGGAATTTGATTATTACATTCCAGTTCATTTTTGTGCCATGATAATTTATTTGTTCTTTCAGCTTTGATGTACTTACACTTTGGTGTACCTACTTGATTCAGACAAGATGGCAGAAGCAAGTGGAACGATCACTGCAAATGCAAAGTATGAGACTGCCTTTAAGTATAAACAAGATGGCAATGAGGCATTCAAGGCAAAAAACTTTAAGCTTGCTATCCGTAACTATCACAAGTGAGTGGTTATTTCATGTTGTCAATCTTGATGATTCCTCACTGTTATCACTTTGCTGTGTTTTTGTATGTTTCCAAGGAATACAAGTACATGCTGCTGTCATTTGCTGAGTATTCATATCATGCTTTAGAAAAATGTGTATCAGTCATGTGATGAAATTTGTGACTGTTGTCTATCAATCTGTGCCATTGTAATGGCCAGCTACCAATTCAAACTAATTGGCATTTCTTGCATAGCTGCACTTCCTTGATGTACAGTCGTTGATGCACTATAAAAGTGATGCCTCTCTTTATCCCCCTATTTCACCCTCTGTCCCCTCTCTCCCTCCCCCGCCCCCAGAGCGCTGCTGTATATCCGGGGGATAGACCAGCACGCAGTGAAGCTGCCCGCCATGCTCGGTAACGCTCGCCAGCAGCGCGACAGGGAACAGAGGCAGAGCGAGCTCACCGAGGAGCTCACGGGCAGCGTGGATGCCCTCAAAGTCGACACGTACAACAATCTCACAGGTGAGCGCGGAGAATCTCACCGGGGAAACTGAGTTATCTGACGCCGCAGTCAGTGATGGATTTCGAGTTTTACGGTGTTATCGGACAGTGGGAGATATTTTTGACGATTTCGCTATTGGATCAGTACAATGCAGAATGGTCTCAAATTAGGTAGTTGAAAATTATGCCAAAGAGCCAGACGAAAAAGCGGACTACAGTCGACGTTATATGGAACGACTTCATGTGGCGGCTGTAGGGATCGCGAGATTCTGAGAACCTTACAGAAGAACGTTCGATTCTTTGGACACTCGTTCGTCTATCCTTCGCTGAGCTGTTTCGCGCCATTTCCAGCCGCCCTGCTGCAGTGTGAGGACAGGTTCGACCTGCAGAAGATCCTCGAGTACTGCGACGAGGTGGCTGAGCTCAGTCCCAACAACCAAAAGTGCCTGTTCCGGCGTGGCCAGGCGTACGCGCGCGCCGGAGACTACGAGGAGGCCGAGCGGTGCCTGCTCAAGGCGCGCGAGCTGCTCAAAGAGAAAGGTGGGTGGGCTGACTGCGGGACGGGATGGGGTCACTGCGGGTCAGTATGAGGTCACCAAAGGGTCACAACTGATTAGCACGAGGTCATCATGGGTCAACTGGATGCTGGTGGGCCAGGGAGATGTTTCTTTGTGTGTGGTAACGGGGAGGTGAGCTTTGTTGGACGCTTGTTTGGGAACGACTCACTGGGAATTGAGGAATGCTCGGTGATGGTGATGGTCGTGCCTGAGTCGGTGTGGTGTGGTGTTGGATCCGCCCTGTATGATGTTTACTGGAATCTTGTGGCTGGTGGTGCTTTCCTGAACTGTACACCATACGACCCTGCATGGGGATTTTGTTTGTTCGGACAGCCAGCATGTGGCTTTGGGAGTGCGATTTGTTGAAAGAACGCCTTTTGACGATCCCGACTTCGTTTGTTCCCTACTACCGTTTCCTTTTGCACCCGTGTTTTATTGTTGGCGCGCAAACCGCGGCACTCGGTGATGGGATTTTTGCGCTTGCTTCGGGCTAGGTGAGTTTCCTGCTTTTACTGCGCTTCCTCACTCCGTACGATTATTATTATTTTTTTGCTATCATTTTTACCGTAACTGCTCTCGTCCTAACTTTTTACGGTAAATTTGATAGTTGATAAGTTTGCTGTGCACAACCAAGTTTGATTTCACATGCAAAACATGCAAGAACTGTATTTAAGTGTGTAATATTAGAGCAGCATTTTATGCTTCTTTTGTATAACTATTCTATTTTATCAGCTATATGATTTTGATGTCTGCTGGTACGGGCGAATACCGATCGTTCAGAGGAGAGTTTAGGTGTAGAAGCTTATAACCGAATACAATGCACTACGTATTGCATGCGAAAGTGCATATATAGTTTTGTGCCGTTGTAATTCTTCTTTAATATTGTTTATTCGATTATCGTAAAATGAGCGTTGGTCAGTTTGACTTTTCATAATCTGTCATTTATACGGTTGACAAGTTTCATTTGTAGGCTGGTACTGGACGAATTAGAAACATTGTTTGATAACAATCTTCTGTCTCCCGTTTCAGATCCGGCGATTGAGAAGCTGCTCGTCACCTGCCGGCAGAACCTCAAGGTGCAGCACGAAAAGCAGAGGTCCATGTGCCGGAACATGTTCGGATCGTGACCGGGTGGTCCCAGAGGCTGACGGTCACGTGCTCGATCACGTGACAACCGGGACGAGTTATGTGACTGATAATACAGAGTCACGTGACAGCCGTTCCGGGTCACGTGACGAAAGGGGTTGGATCTCAGCGGTGTGTGATGCGTCTTCCAGGCCGATGTCAGCGGATCAGCCCTGGCATTGGTAGATATTTGTGATGCTCAGAGGCTGAGAGGGAGGATGTTTGCCATGTTCAGAGACTGAGATGGGAGTTCTGAAGTTGCCGGCTGTCGTACTTGTGTGACGGTGTCTGCTGTGTCACAGAGACATTGAAAATGTTACATTGTCCAGCGGCTATGTTCCGCTGGTCCCATGAGGAGTTGTGAGTTAACACGGAGTTTCCCACTTTGTTGCCATCATTGCAGTTCACTGTTCGTAGCTGCAGCTAACCACTGGTTTGGTGTGCATATGCACGCTGCAAAACCGTCGCTAAAATGGCTGTGTGTTGTAGATAAGCATAGCTTGACAATTGACATCGTCCACGGGTTGTTCCAGCTCATTTCGAGTATTTGTCCGATTGTCTGTTACTCAGAGCTGGGTCGACAGGTGGGGACTCGACTGTTGCGTTCGGAGAGGACTGTGTCTGGCTTAGCAACTGTGACGTTGCTAGGGGGGGGGGGGGCGCTACGTGTTCGTTGCAAAAACGGAATGTTAGATTGGCATTGTTCTGCACGGTCTGTTTGTTATCGCATCAATATATTTTTGATGTTTTGGATCAATATGGCACGGATTTAACGACGTTCTAGTTATGGTTTTTCATCTCCACTGAACATGAATTGTTTCAGGGATCTTGTGACACTTTAGAGGTATGGACGAAAAAGAAATTGCAGCCAGCGAAAAGCTACTCTCCAATTATAGATGTTATAAATGCTACTCATTCAGAATTCTGTTGCTTTACTCCACTCAGGACTCTGTAGGACCAAAGACGGTTCGTGGAGGCTTATTTATGTCGACCCTTGCCGACCCACCGCACCGTCGTGCGGGACCGAGGCGTGGACTCCGGCGCGGGCTCGTCCGCAGCAGCCGTGCGCTCGGCACGTCCTCTATCGACTCTGTGGCTACCCGCAGTTTTCGTTTCGTCTCTCAGATGCTGCTGGTGCTGCCACCTGTGCAGTGGACCTGCAAACTCATTCCAACTTGGGTAGTTCAGCGAACAGAGCGACGAAAACAGTTGTGATTAATTTATGATGGCGTTAGTGCTTTTATTGTAGTGTAGGCTATATGAAGAAATAGGTTGATTTCACGGGTAGTCCCTAACACAAACGTAGTGGCTGTATTTAGGGCCTTGGTAGTGGCAAAAACATCCGCCCTATCGGTGTGGAGCGTTGGCGACTCTAGGGGCGGGGCGGTTGCTCGCTGCGCCGAAGGAGGGACATAAACTTCGCCGTCGACCCGGGTTATATAATTTGTGTATGTTACTTTCTGGCACCAGTTTCCATCCAGCTGATGGTCTGTATTTTTGTTTGACTCTTCATCTCGCACTGTGAGGTCAGCTTGAGGTTCAACCTATTTAAAACTAACAAATGAACCATCGAGCCCTTCTGCACGGACCTAAGTGTTGTTCAAAATCCAGACATGTTGTTGAACACAGACACTACGTTTTACAGTAAAAGTATCGACGCTCAGAGGTTTACATGATTGTCTTTCAACCGATCCTGGCTCCTGCGGCCTCCCCTCACGCTGGACCATGTTTTCTCCCTGCCCTCCCCCTCACTCCCTGCCCTCCCTCTCCTGTGACATTCGGTGAACGACTGAGAGCCGCTCCAATTATCCTCCGTTTCCCCCGTCTCTGTGGCTCTGAGCGGCGCGCAGCTGACCGCGTCCAAGGGCAGCAGAGTGTCCGGCGCCTCCGGCCAGGCTCCCGTGTCCAGTGAGTCAGTAGCGACTCCCGCCCGCCCGCCGCCGGCAGCCAGTTCCCACGCTCCCGTCCCTCATTGTTTCCGTCCGTCCGTCCGTCCGACCGAACCGACCGACCACCGTCCGTCCGACCGTCCGTCCGTCCAGCCGCCCCCGTTGGCCGACCGGGCCAGACTAGTCCGGCGCGGTGGCGACGGATGCGGCGCACCGAGCGGTCAGATAGGCCACGGTGTGCTCAGCTGATGTGTCAATATATAATTCGAATTCCCATGAAAATTGTGCGCCTTCCCTTCCCTACTTAAACTCAGCCAGAACAATTATGCTCCGAATGGGGTCTTATTTTCCATTTTCTAAAAATCGCGTTTGCCTATACCCGGGCTCTCCACCCTAAATCAAGGCAAAATATCGCAAAACGTTATGTTTTCATTTTGTCCGTGTCTTCCGGCGCCTCTTTGCTGTACCAAATGCCTTGATGAATATGATTCATCTCTTGGTATAGATCTCGGGTATAATCGGAGCACACGATCTAGCGTCAATAAGCCGGTTGAGGAATGTGTGTTATGCTCTTTTCTCCTATGCAGCCACCTCCTTACAGTTACACCTGGTATTTTAGTTTTTTTTTACGGATTGTATAACGGTATAACGGGAGGGGAATATCTGCAACCGCAAAATGAAATTCACGTGTCCGCTATTCGCGGATCCGCCTCATATCATTAGTAGTGCCTCGAAGTGGGCTCTAAAGCGCGAGCTTGTTCATGACCGACTCAGTAATTGGTGGTGTTTAGGCAGTTCGTGAGTGACTGCTCAGCAGTTTGATAATGTGTTTTCCAAGCCTGTCTGGAAGATGGGATAAAACAGATGACTATTTGGCTAGATGTGCTAATGTGACATATATCTGATCTGGCAAGAAGTATCCCAGCTGCCGGGAAAACTATAAGGCACATGTTATACTGATGTTGCGGTCAGATACTTGGCCAAGGTCGAAAACTGACGTTAAGTAATTCCTGCTGAGCAGCTCCTTTTGAAACGAGATGGAAAAATCCAGATGTGCAAAAGTAAAGAGAATGCATGAAACGCCGTGTCCAGTGAAAAGCCAGTGCAGGGGCAAAACTTAACACCGTTTAGTCGTTTTAATCCGGCTATCCGGACTCACCGAACCCCATATCTTACGTAATCTTCTTTCAATCGGTTTTTGTTCGAGTCTCCTTCAATCGGCCTCCGGAGTTCGTGTGATCTCGCATGAACTCTCTACAACTCTACCCGCTGTTTCCGCTTAGACCGTTCCCTCCCACCCCGCTGCCCGCCTTACCTTCCTCCGTATCCCACCGACCGACTAAACCCCTTCTTTACCTCCTGTGATGGGACCTGTCTGCCCCACACCTCTCACCGGGTGACCAGTAGTCGTGTGAACCGCCGCCGGCCGACCACCGACACCTCATCCTCAGCCGCTCCCCAATTAGGCCGGTCGGAGCGGTCAGATACCATCAGAGAACCCACCGGAGCCGGGCGCGACTCCCGGTCACGGAGAGGGGTGTGGGAGCGCTCACCGGGTCTGACTGTAGGCGCTGATCTAGATAGGTGCGTGGGAAGGGTGGGGGAGACGGTCCGACTCCTGCCCTGACTGGGTGCGGGGGTGGTGATCGGCGGTAGGAGCACAGCAGAGAGAAGGGAAAGGGAGGGGGTTGGATAGTGCTCGATGTCAGTGAGGGTCTCTCCCTACCGGCTGGCCGGCATGATGTCTCATTTGTACTCAGAGTATCTGGACTAGTCATGGAAGTGCCAGGGACGGGGCCCGAATTGGAGCGTCTCGGAATCTAAAAAGATGTGCCCGAACTCTAAACCGGTGACCACTGCCCAGCCTCTGAACCGATGACCACTGCCCAGTCGGCCCCGGACTGGTCACGGCGAGTCATTAGCGACCGGAAACTGGGGAAGGGGAGGGGAGGGATAGAGAGGCGCGTCCCACGCCCCCGAGAGAAGGTCCGCGCCAACTAGCCCGTCTGTGAATCATCGTCACCCTTGCACCTTGCCAGAGAGCTGAATTAGTGTTTAACAGCGTCAGCAATGCAGCGGCTTCCGAGGCATGGTAACTGTCGGCGAAGAGATGGTGAATGTGGATGATTCATGTTTATTCCCACGGAGATATGGCGGACAAATTTGGCGTAAGGAGCTACGACTGACGGGTTACACATAGTTAGGTACTCTCCATTTCGGGGCTTTGTCGACGCATAGTATCTTCACGATCACACACCTTACTGGCTTCAAAATGTTGTTACTTGAAGGCTGAAGACGAATCGGTAAAATAAAACAATTAGTTTCCACGCTGCTGACAAGGTCGCCAAAAGTGATCATTTCTCTGTCGAGAACCTACCCATCATATCGCGCGCTATTTTGTCGAGGATCTAATTTTGTTCGGACGCGAACAAAACTGATGACATTGTCCCGGGGACAGCGATTGAACATCGAATCAAGGTCGCCGCTAACAGCCCCCGGCCTGCGCTGACAGGTGTCCTCGACGGGGGCCGAACAAGCGCCGGCCGGGACCTCATAGACGCCCCGGGCGCTGCGGCCGGTATCGCCCCAATTGGCCGTGTTCCAATCATTATTCGCCCTGTGAGATGCTATTTACCAGCGGGAAATGGTCGCGTCTGTCGGCGGTTAGCCACAATTAGCTCCGGCTACTACCGGAAAACCGTCCTTCCTCAAGTAGCCGCTCCGCCGCCGGCGCCCGCCCCGCCGAATCGATGAATGAACTGAATGAATGGGCGGCCGGGCGTAGTTGCCGGCCGGGCCGACAGATGGCAGTGAGGTCGCCGCCGCGCCGGCCGTCCAGTGAAGCCGTCTCGGGCGGCTGCTCGGGCCGCGCTGTCCTCCGCCTCCTCACGGGTGAGTGCGCCCGGGCCGTGAGGGGAGGGAGGGGGCTTCCGCCGGCCAGGAGGGTCTATTGTCCTGTCTATGATGAGGATTACCGGGCGTTGTCTGTCGCCGGGCCAGCTCCACTCAGCACTGGGGACACTGAGGCTGCGAGTACCCGGGAACGCCCAGGTCCGGGGGCGCAGGGAATCGTTCGTCTTTACTGAATGATTAGAACATAACCCAGCGACGAGTATGGGTATTGTGAATATGCTAAGAGACACTCCTTTCGAAAAAGGTTAGCCTGAAGCGTGATAATCGAAACCCGACTCCATTGCGACCTTACATATATGAGCGCGCATATCATATTTTTTCCTATATTTATTCAAACAATTAACAGAAACTTTCTACTTGCGTTGGCTTGCTCCCGGAAGTAAACCTGCGACTTGTACGGCATTTTAGCGTCACCTCGGCTGGTGACATTCAATATTGAAATGATGTCATGTCGCAGAGCTACGAACGTAACCGGCATGACTTGCATAATTGTCGCAAGTCAGCGTCTCAATTCAGTTTTTAGTGTATTTAGCTCAACTCGAGCTTTGAAAAATCGAGGCCAGGGGTAATCGTGCGCAGCTTGAAACGATGTTATATCCGGTTGCCGCTAATTTACTGTTTAGAAGTACGTCATTTGTCACGAACATTTTTGCGAGGTCGTCAGTCGTCACGAAACGTTTCGGTAGGTTCATATATTATCTACCTATCCGTACGCTTGAGAGCAGCCAGCGCCTGCGAAGTTACCAATGTTCTGTCCAGTGACTGCCCATTGAGGTCTACTACAGCTCTTAAAAATAAATTCATGTCTGAATGATTGCATGGGGTCTTTATCAGCTTTTAGAGCTGGGATACTCATTCGTGTGATCATGTGAATTTACCGATGGATTGACGTCGGCTAGTTTAGACGTGCTGCGATTGCACACTGCCGCGGTTTGGGTATAGAGCCCTGCGTATC